GAGGAGACCGTCGGAAAGGGTAAAATCCTTTCTAAACCATTAAATGAAATCTTTTAATGGATAAAATTTGTTAGGAAGTTAGACACAAGTGGCTTATCCCGAGGCTAAAGAAAGCAAATAGCAAAAGCCCTGCTTATCAAATGACAACTTTGGAAAAGTAGATTGATAAAAAGGAAGTAGAATCTATTGGCTAAACTGATCAAATAATTAATTGAAAAATGGAATTTCCTTAAAACTGCTACCCGGATTGTGATTAGCCAGAGTAATAAAACAGAACGGGGTAAAGTCGATGCGTATACGAGAAGTACCTACTTGATGGGCGATCATCAGGCTAAGCACGGACAGGAAGTCTTACTGTCAAACGGCCGGAAGGAGCTGGCCACTTCCTTCTCACGGGCATTAGCAGCCTAGTTGTGACGCTTTTATACCAGGCAGATGCCTTTGAAAAAAGCAGCCAGGTAGGCCGTAATTCTGTATTGATTTTGGAAAAAATCCATCCAAGCTGTACGATAACACCGGGATGAAAAGTATCAGTAATAGAAATTTCCTAAAAAAATTATTTTTGAAAATGAAAAAAAAAACTGAGGAGGCCTATTGTACACTTTTACTATTTTTATTTTCTATTTTGTATAGTAGTAGTACTATTGTATATAGTATATTATATAGTTTACTATTTTATTTTGAACCTTACTTTCAATTAATTAATATTTTTTAAGTAAGGTTTTGGTTGAAATGAAAAAGCTAGTGCCACGAGCGGGATTCGAACCCACGACCATCGGCTCAATACGCCGCTGCTCTAACCACTTGAGATATCGTGACTTCGATCGACACCAACTCCCCACCTCAACCTACAACCTATCGAATTTTCCCTCTTTTTGTCATTTTTCAACCTTTTGCTTTATCATTTAATACCAGTATCATTTTTTTAAGACGTTGTTTCGTTCATTACTGAGCATGTGTTTTCCGTTCGATAAAAATGCACTGTTGGTCTACAAAATCATTATTCATCATTAGATGGCCAAGCTATAAGGTGATGCTACTGTATACCGGTGTATACTCCAAAGCTGGATTTTCTATGTGTTTTTCACTTTCCGTTGATTATAGATTGACCATTTTTAGGGTGAAAGTGAACTGAAGGTGGTATAAAATTATAAAAATCAGATAGAAGGGATGTGATTGAAAGGAAACACAACAGTGCAATTTAACGGCAGAATCAGGTACTAAGGAGGCCATCTGAATGAGAAGAGTCTGACTGTTTTATGAGACCAAGCTATTATTTTTTATGACGTTGTTTCTTTCATTACTGAGTATCTACTTTTCCGTTCGATAAAAAAAAAACGGTGTATAAAATCATCGCAATAATTTATCATTAGATGACCATGCTATTAGGTGTTGCTACTGTATACTGGTGTACTGTTCAAAGTTGGATTTTCTATGTGTTTTTCACTTTTTGTTGATTCTGGATTGAACATTTTTAGGGTGAAAGTGAACTGAAGGTGGTATAAAATTATAAAAATCAGATACAAGGGATGTGATAGAAAGAAAACAACGCAACAGTGCAATTTAACTGCAAAACCGATATATGGCCATCTGAACGTCAGTTGATAAATAAAAATTTTTTTTAGCATACGCTTCGTGTATAGTTGAATGAAGAATGACATAAACCGCATAATGGATTAACACTCTAAATTTTTAACTGTCACAATGGCTGGACCGGACGTAGCGTGAACGAGAGGAAGAGGAGAAAATAATAAGGACGCTATGCTATATCTCATCGGGATCAGCCTCTATGCTAATGCGGTTAAACTGATGCGCCATAAATATCCCAGGACCTTTGTTCGCCGAGACGAAATTAGCGACGCACCATTCTTTTCTCCCCTGTCGTCGTCCCGGAGGGTGGCGCACATGCCCGGAGCGAACAAGTTCTTTCCAGTCACGCCGTTCGTGATTCAAATCGCCGTCGAGGACGGTGCTATCCGGCGTTTCCCGGGTCGACAATTGAGATAAACGGCTTGCCAGCCGATTGCCTTCGGCCCTAACGCGGATTTGTGAGGTCCTGCTCGTGTGCGTTATACCGAAATAATACAATTATCCAACACTTACATGAAAAAAATACCTCAATTACCTTTAAAATAAATTATGTTTTGAGATAACAAGGACAGTCATACTCATAATTCACCTTACTAGCTTCCATACAACCAAAACGTAACAACATAAATACTTTTACTTAAGAAAGCCCAACATGGGTAATTTATAGGTGAAGGTTCAGCAAAAAACGGGTTGCCCTTAACAGTCGTTATGGTACAATGATCGCACAGGGCCATTGGTTTCTCCGCATGATTAACTTGTTTCCATGGGTTTCATTGAAACTTTATTACCCAGGTCGTTCAATGTTGTGAGAAGGTGAATTATTTAGTTTCATACTTTAAATAGTTATTATCCCATGGTGAATAGCTTTGGGCTATTCAAGCGTATTACAGTTCCATTGGATATGACTTCGCTTTTTGTGGTTTGGCCATTTCCCGGTTATTTTGGATTGACTGTCGGCGTTTCGGTCTGCCAGATATGTTTCTGTTCATGTTTTGACTCATCACCGAAGATGGCGAGAAGCCTAAAACTACAGGTTCATCACCCCTTAGAACTTTCACTTTCAATAAAACCCTATTTCGTAATTTTCGAAGTATAATCATGGGAATTTTGTTTTTTGAAAAGTTATATCTTACTAGTTAGTGGAATTTTTTCAAAAGGTTTTCACATAAACATTTATGCAAAATTTACATAAATGTACAATTTTCTGAAGTCTCAATTACGAAGTTTTCAAAATGGTTAACCAGTCGGACAAATTTTGGCATGGCAAATTTTCTTTCTATCTCTCAAAAGACCTTTCTGTTAAAACGAGTTATTTGACTTTACCGTCATCAAACGAGCTAAAATCTGCTTGACCGTCTTAGAAGGGTCCGCCTATTCTCGCATTATTTCTTAGTTTATTTATTAAACCCCTGTTATATTATTTAAATGTATAAAAACGATCAATTTTATAATTATTTTCTCTCTAAAAATGTAAAGATGTATATTTAGCCTTCTTCTTATCTAGGTCAAACATCCTAGATAATCTTAAAATTAGAGCTAGAAAATTTCTCAGTTGTAGCTAGTGTTCTGCTTGTTGTCAGATGAATGGTACGAGAAATCAAATGTTTCGGTGATTTCGGTTTTAAAAATTCTTCAAGGGAAGAAAGCCTGAAGAAACAAACGCCCAATGTTAACAAAAATAATAGCCGTTTTACGTCGGCTTCCGGTCGTAAAGAGATAGCGGTTTGCATCCTCCGAGGTTCAAAGAACCTCTGATAACATGATAACTCTTGAAAATGAGAAACTACGAACGAAACTGGGTTTACAAACAGCTGTATTTCATTTTAGACGTGAAAACTCATTCATCACTAGATTTCGAGTAAAATAGTTTGTATTTTTTGAGCCAGTATAAAAAAGAAAGTTTTTGACAACGTTAAAGGTAATCCGGCCGAAAGCCAGCGGAGCAAAACAGGGCCCCAGAACGTTAGTCACCATGCGGTTCGACTTCCGTCCGCATAAAAATAAAAGTCCGGTCGGTTCCACCACAGAAGTGAGAACGATAATTGGCTTACCGCAAACAGTTTTTAGAAAACGGTTTAACTAGTTTGGGCTTTTGTCCAAATAGGCTTTCAAACTAGACATAAAAGAAACGACCTAGATAAAGCATAGTTACCAGTCATCATAGTTGAGCGGTAGTTAACTACATTGAAAAGTTTTTTAAAAAGAAATTTTAACGTTACATATGAACAGTTACACCTACTTGCCGAAATTGCTAGTTAGCAGTAATCTATAGTTTGAGAACTGCACTACAACTATTTAATAGGGAATACCACCTAGTATTTGGTAACAGTACTTGAGAGCTAACTACTGACACCTATCATGCAACGTAAAAGGCAACAGGCTTTGAAAACTTTTAATTTGAGTTTGCGAATCTATTTTATTAATTTAGCTTTCTCGAAAGAGTGGAAATGATGCTTGATCTATTTCCCACGTTTTTCTTTCCTTCTCTCTCACTTTCTTTTGTTTTCTCCCGCCCTCTATTTCTCTTTCTCTGTCTATTCTTCTCTCTTTCCTTTTCCCTCTTCTTTCTATTTTTCGTCACTCTCATTCGTTTTCTTTCTACCTCGTACCTTCTTTCTGTAAATTTTTTTCTATTACTTTTATTCTCCGTATTTCACATACACATAGACACACCCTCTCTCTCTCTTATTTTTTTCTTTCCAGCTGTTTCACTTTCTTAATCGCTCTCCCGTTTTTGCCCACTCTCCATCTCGTACTCTCTCTTATTTATTTTTTCCTTTCTCTCTCGTTTTTTCTTTTTCAATCCCTACTTCCTTCTGAACTGTTTTTGCTTTCTTTATTTCTTTCTTTTCTCCCTCTTTCTTCTTTCTTTTTTCCTCACTCTGGCTCGCTTTTTCTTTTTTTCTCTCTCTTTCTCCTCTCTCACACTCGCTCCCACTCTGTATCTCAACCTTTCGTTTTATCTGTCTCTCGTTCGTCGTTAGATCGTTTTTTTTTCCTCCCTCCTTATTTCTATATATTTTTTCTTTCTTTCTTTCCCCCTCTCTCATTCACTCACTCTCTCTTTCTTTCTTATTTCTTTCTTTTCCCCCTCTTACACTCACACTCTCTCTCTCTCTCATTTTTTTCTTTCCCCCTCTTTCACTCACTCACACACTCACTCACTTCTCACTCTCTCGTTTTTTCCTACTCTGCATGTCGTTTTCTCTCTACTTTCTCTATTCTCACTCTCCCTCTCTTTCGTTTTTTCTGGCACCCTCCTTACTTCTTTCAGTACCTTTTTCCTTTCTCTATGTCTTTCTTTCCCTCTCCCTCTTTATCTCTCGTTCTTTCTTTCTAATCGAGAACTCGGATTTGTTGATTACACCATCTTTAATAACCAATAATAAAACATTAATTGATCGAAGTTATTCAATTTCAAACGGACAACCCAAGCGTTGTTTTAGGTTTATTGTCTATATACAAATTATGAATATAGTTAAAATGTATCTCTTTGTACGTTCTGCATGTTGATAAACATCTGTTTCCGCAACCAAACTGAAGATACAATTGTCAAACTTGGTAAGTTGTGCCAACTCCTGTCTCCGGCTCAAATTTCGCTCAAGCCGTACAAATTCAACATCCCAACTCGGTCAATATTCCGGGTTCCGAAAGGGTCCTCTTTACATGGAAAGATAATCTACGTCAAGAAAGAGAGCCGTAACGTCATGGAGAAACGCGAGGCTCTCCGGACGCATTTATCGTGAGCACGGGTCCTGAATTCGAATAAGTCTCAGATTTTATTCAAGCCCAGGAAATCCGTTCGACGTGGGACACAGTACCACACTACTTTCGCGTGAATCTCCTCTGTTACACAGTCGAACATCCAGTACGAACATATATATAATACTTATCTTATCCTCGAACAGTTCTCACGGATATCAGCACATACCTGAAACAGAAAAAGAGAAGATAAATATAACAAAACGGATTTTTTAAAAAAAGTCGAAGATAATCATGAAAGTTTTTTTCATAAGATAAGCCGCGGTCGTGGTGGAGAACAGAGGAAAAGCCGTGTTCAGAACTGTTCAACATCAGCATATCAGTATTAACACGATTCCGATCACGATAAAGCCGCCTGCCTACAATATAACCTGAACGTTTATCTCCTAAAGGATATTATTATAGGATATTACTTTTTTTAACGAGACGATTTAAATCAGTTGAGCTGTCACCCACGGAATAATAATAATGTCCAATTGAAATAAACTGAAAATTGTACTGCATTAAGTACATTTTATCGAGTGTTAACGGTTGTATTGCAAGCATGTACATATGTGTCTGAATTTGTATGTGTTCATTTTACACATATAATGTGTTGTTTATTTCCCTATGTTTCTTTCTGTCAGACATTCCGCTTCTACCAGAGAGAAATATGTTTGTCACTGAGGAAGAAGATATACTATCTGTGTATTCTAGAGTGGAGCTCTGATTGCTCTGTCCATAGTCTACTGTTAATAAGGTACAAGTTTTAGCTACTTTGTAGGGACCATAGACAAGTTTTGAAAATATCTAAGACCTGTACTAAACACTTAACATCTGGTAACTTGTTCTCGTCACGTTAGACGGAAAGCTATTGTAGAAAAACCATTTACGCCGCTTCTTAAATTTCTGTGTGACTCCTAGCCCTTTTCCCTTTAGGAAAAAGACATCCTACTCTGTTAGTATTTCCATCCAGGCGATACTAAGGATTCGTCACATAAAACAAAGCGTTCTGCTTTATCTTCATATATACTGGCAGGGTGGTTGATGCTGCATGTGCCATTATGCGACGTTGTTCAATCGCTTCTTACAATTCTTATGACGATCAATCTGTGCGCTCTAACTATTCCACTTTTAACCTCCGTTCTCAACCCGACCCCTTCAAATAAGACAGGGGCGCTACGGACCAAGACGATCACTTTCTACACATCAGCACCCGTCACAACATGTCCGTTAATTGTACTATTAGTAACAGTATATGGGATAAATATATAGATAGATAGAAAATGGGAGAGAGAGAGTGTGTTTGTGTGTGTGTGTGAGAGAGAGAGAGAGAGAGAAAGGGAGAAAGAGAGGAAGAGAAAGAGAAAGAGAGGAAGAGAGAAAGAAAGAAAGAGAGGAAGAGAAGGAGAAAGAGAGGAAGAGAGAAAGAAAGAGAGGAAGAGAGAGAGAGAAAGAAAGAAAGAAAGAGAGAGAGAGAGAGAAAGAGAAAGAGAGAGAGAGGTAAATAGTAAAAGAGAGTGAAGGGGGTAAAAGATAGGATAGAGGGCGTGAGAGACAGAGGGGGACAGGGAGAGAGAGATAGCTACACAGAGAGAAAACAAGAGCTAGAGGGAGGAGGAAAGGAAGAGACAGAAAGATAAATGGATAAATACAGGGAGAGGGAGAGGGAGAGGGAGGGAGAGAGAGAGAGAGAGAGAGAGAGAGAGAGAGAGAGAGAGAAGATGGTTAGAGCGGGACGTTCAACCCTCCCGAACGTATGTACCGATAGTAACACCACATAACACATAATTTTGAATTGTGTTTTTACACTGCGATAGTTAATGAATTGAAAAGACGTAAAAAATAATATTTCGTAAAGATAATATTTCTCGGCTCCGATTAAATTTTAATCATTTTCAAAATGGGTGTTGGTTATGAATCTTATTTGATTTTGCTTTCAAAAAAATTCGTAAATTTTATATCAGACGACTTGCAGTGTGGGCATGGCCCGGCAGGTGGCCCCTAAAGTACTATTAAGTCAAAAGATTATAAATCACACCTAACTTTCACATTCTAAGTACTTTCACCCGAGTTCAATGTCAAAATTGTATGACGTCCTGGCTAATTGTTAATAGTCTTTCGAATTACAACCGCTTCCTCGGTGAACGACGTCTCTCAAGACGACAACCAGGGCGTGGATAATTCGTCCAGGAGAAAACCGACGCATCTCATACTCGTTTATTAAATCCCACGTAAATATTTAAATTTTCAGCCTCCGCGATACGTAATTAAGTTAATTCGGTCCGGGCGAGTTCGACTCCGTGACAAATGAGGATGTCCGCAGCGACAATGGCCCATGGAAACGCGCTCACACCCAGTTGACGTCGGACGTTTGTCCTGGAGCGAGGATAAACGGCCTTCCAATGCGTATTTCCACCGTTTCTTGTTATTAAATAGCTGTTGAGGTCATTCCCATTTTTAAAAAAAACAGTAATTTTTTTTATAAATTACCCGCAGGAAAGAAGGTACGGAGGAAAACCACACGCGGCTTTTGGAAGTCAACGGAATTTATTATTGCCTTGGCAATAGTTTTAACCGAAACCGTTTGTTCCGACAGAATTGAATTGGTCGAAACGTGCGGGTCGCGCGTCCTCGGCGAAATAAAATATTCACCAGTTCGGCACAGGGTCCCACCTGGCCCATGAATTACCATAGACACAGGCTGCACGCGCCTAATTAAGACAATTGGTAGCCGATGGAAGCAGATGGAAATAGCGTAGGCTATTCCACTCAACACAATTGCTTCCGCCTTTCAACCATCTTCAACTGCTATTGAACGTTCTTTATAAGTAATTAATTATACATCTAGTTTGAAATTCTGACGACTGGGAGTTTAATTTGTGACGAAAACTTACTTCGAAACTTTAAATTTAACATCACCAAACAAAATAAAACTTATAGGAGGCTTTAGAAGACGGGATCGCCCCAAAAGTCGTTTAATTAGATCACTGATATGATGTGAATATGTTAATCACCTAAGAGGAATCAGCTTCATGTAACAAACCTTCTGAGATAGGTGAATGCAACTAGGGTAGACTTTTGGGGGTTTACTTTCATACGCCATTTTTGATTACAGTCAATATAGGAAAAATATATCGATGTTAACTAACAAGAAGAAAGATACAAATGTTGTCAAAAACATTTAAGACTAACATTTGAATAGATAAAAACATCGTTGATGACAAAAATATTTTTAGCACAATATCGATGTTGAAGAAAATACCATTGAAAAAAAGTGATGGCAGAAACATGGAAAAAACAATTTTTGTACAAAAAAATCGAGGGAGACAAAGAACATTTAAAAAATTATCGATCTTGGACAAGTATTGCAGAAAACGTTGATGTCGGCAAAACATTGAAAAATATATCGATGTTGACAAACAAACATTGAAGAAATACAGATACAGATGTACAACAGACAATACAGAAGTTGACAAAAACATTTAGGAATAATATTTGACTAGGTAAAAACATCGTTGGTGACAAAAAATCTTTTAGTACCATATCGATGTGGCAAAACAAACATTGAATACAATATTCATGCTGGCAAAAACATTGAAGAAAAACTTTTTTTTTAGATAAACACATCGAGGGTAACAACAAATCATTTAAGAAAAATATCGACAATGACAAAACAAACGCTGAAGAAGAAGTTGATAACAAAAACATTTAGCAAAATCGTATACATTGTCAAAAAAAAAAAAAAAAACTCAAAACTATCACTGACATAAAACTGATACTATAGGTAGCCTTTTCGCCTAGATGTATCAATCGGCACTGCTACGAAAAAAAATCGGGCGTTACGGCACATTACAAAGGTAAGCACACTGTTCAAAATTGATCACGTGTTCACTAGTTAAATAAGATCAAACAAAACCAAAGATTAAAAATGTAGTCTTTCAAAGATTGAAGGGAGATTTGTGATACGTTTTGTAGTCAAATATTGAGACGGTTAAGAACTCAAGAAAGTACTTTATTTTTTAAATTACCATTCCTTATGGACATTTATAAAAATAAGGACAATTTTTAAACATATTGAAAAAACCAGGTAATTAACCTGCGGACAGGTTGTGCTAAATGTTTGTTTGGCATTATTGTTGAATTTGTTTTGGTGAAAATTTTGTTTAAATTGTTTACGGTCGATTTTTCATTCTTGCAAATTAATCGAATGGAACCTTTCCACTTTTAGAAAATGCTTCAATGACCATTAAGAAGCTGTCAACGTACCCGCGACCTGGGTTGTTCCAATTTCTAAAATAGGCCCCACGCCGCACCGGCTGTCAGCCGTCACTTCGGTTATTTTGGACCTTTTCCGAACCTAAATTAATTGACCCAGTGGCGTAAGCGTATTTCTGTATTTTTCGACAGCCAACGACTCTCGGCAGCTTTTTAGATGGTAGTTAACCCGTCACGGCTTCTCGGGCTCATTTGAATTGATTCTCGGAGGAGATACGAGGGACGATGGATAAACTCTGTTCTCTACAGAGTACCGGTCACACATGACCTCTCAACGCTGAAATTCGTTAGAATCCTTCGTCGGGTTCAATGGTAAAACGCGAATTATTTTGGTGTGTAATGTCGTAAAGATAGTTACTAAAAAAAACAGTCTTTTAAATTTCGATCCAACCGGCTACGTCAGTCGCTATCTAGTAAACTTCATAATATCAAAAAGTCAAAATGCTAATAATAATAATCAATACATTTTAAACGTTAATTTACCTCAACCAACCTAAGCTAAGCCAGGAATAGACAAATAAATAAAAAAGGTTTTATGAGGTATTCAATTCATATTAATTTTACTAAACTGTGTAAATTTTATAAGACTCACTAGGAAAACTCATTTTAGAAATTATTTCACAATTTCAAGTAACAAAAGGCGCATGAGTGCAAATATTTCTGAATTTGTTTGCACGAAACTGATAAGCCGCATGGCCACGGGAGAAGAGCCCCGTTTATGATTTGAGAACAAACCGTAGAGATTATGCATCTTCACAAAATCAAATTCAGCCCTTGACAATAAACTGTTTAAACAAAATTTCATCCCGGAGATAATTAAGTGATTAACCTTCATAATCCATCATTTTAGACGGGAAGTGGCGACAAATAAGGACGGAATGTAAGCTAAGCAACAGGCTAGTTGTTACATAA